AGGGACGGCTAGCGCATATAGCCCTCGTGTAGCTTTGCGCGAAATTCAAAACAAACAAACAAATTTGCTGGAAGTTTCTTACTTATAAAGCCTTTCATGCAATGCAAACACTTTTTCTTTAACCATTAGCGTGGTATCCAAAATCGGATCATGCAATTTGTGTGAATCCAGTGACATTGTTTTAGGAAGATAGTCATAGTGTAGCTGTGTGCTAACATTAAACTTTATAACGTGATCCCAGAAATGCTCCAGTGATATTGTTTAGGAAGACAGTGATAGTGTGGCTGTGTGCTAACATTAAACTTTATAACCTGATCTCAGAAACGCTCAGGTGACATTGTTTTAGGAAGATGGAGATAGCGTAGCTGTATGCTAACATTAAACTTTATAACCTGATCCCAGAAATGCTCTGGTGACATTGTTTTAGGAAGACAGTGATAGTGTGGCTGTCTGCTAACATTAAACTTTATAACCTGATCCCAGAAACGCTCCGGTGACATTGTTTTAGGAAAGTAGTGATAGTGTAGCCGTGAGCTAACATTAAACTTTATAACCTGATCTCAGAAACGCTCGGATAACATTGTTTAGGAAGATAGTGATAGTGTGGCTGTGTGCTAACATTAAACTTTATAACCTGATCCCAGAAACGATCTGGTGACATTGTTTTAGGAAGATGGAGATAGCGTAGCTGTGTGCTAACATTAAACTTTATAACCTGATCCCAGAAACGCCACCTTTTCATTTTAAAAATTAGGTAAACTCAGAGATTTATTGCATTTCTATGAGATTTATGAAGTCGGTATGTAAACAGGAAATTACGCCTAGGGTTGAATCAGAGTAAACAGGACATAATGCCTCGGAATTACTAACTTATTGGTACCTGTATTGTTGTCCCAGTGACAAAACGTTATGTTACTATAGTGCCATATATGAGACTGACAATACTGATAGTGACCGTTTTTCTTCACAGCCTTAGAAGTTCAAGCTGCGTATCTAATAATAATCGAACATTTAATAATTAATATCTGGTAATCAAAACAGTGAAAAAAGTAGCAACTAAGTAATAATTAGACTTAGGTGATAGAATAAGCTACAAATTATGACAATGAATATTATATGTGTCAGATTTTGTATTATTTGGGTTAATCCTTATTGTTTTCCAGGTAAAATGGCGTCAGGTTTTATGGGGCTCCACTTTGCAGTTTGGTTTTGGTCTGTTGATCCTCCGCTGGGATGTGGGCCAAGAAATATTTTCCTGTTTGGGTGATAAGGTGAAGACGTTTTTAGAGTTTACGGACTTCGGCTCAACCTTCGTCTTTGGTTACCTGATCACTGGAAAGATGGATGACTTACCTGTCCAGCCTGCGCCTTTTGCTTTCAAGGTATACCTGTCAGAGTAAACTACTCAACTTCTTCCGGCAGCACTATTCTGAGGTTTCTATGGGAATCCTCTCTAAACTTTCAACCAGCATATCTTAAAACAGTCATGTTTAACTGATTTTGCGTATGACCGGCATTCTTTATTATAGCAGTGGTTAGCCGGTATTTTTACTGATGTTTTGGGGGATTTATAAGCACTTAAAATAAACATAAGATGCAACAGTTGTCCACAGCTGTCTTATTTCAATACCAGAAATACAGTCATATTCAAACAAAAAAACGTCTGAACGCTTTGAAATTAAGAACGTCTCCTACCCATCCATCATAACATCTATCTGTTTATCTTTGCTTTTTCTTTTGTTTTAATCTGATACTCTTACTGTGATATTCACTATAACAGACATAACTGCTCTATCCAGATTTCAGTGGGTTCTAATATTTAATAATAAAATTGTATTGTTTTGTTTTAATCTGATATTCTAACTGTGATATTCACTATAACAGACATAACTGCTCTATCCAGATTTCAGTGTGTTCTAATATTTAATAATATAATTGTATTGTTTTGTTTTAATCTGATACTCTTACTGTGATATTCACTATAACAGACATAACTGCTCTATCCAGATTTCAGTGTGTTCTAATATTTAATAATAGAGTTGTTTTGTTTTGTTTTAATCTGATACTCTCGATGTGATATTCACTATAATAGACATAACTGCTCTATCCAAATTTCAGTGTGTTTTAATATCTAATTATAACATTTTTTTTAAAGAACTTCAACTATTATAAAATATTGTTAAACCTTCACACGGATCAGACTTCACTGCAATGAACAAAACTTCATCCTCGCCCAAAATGCAGGGCAGTAATCGTTCACGAACAACGCTATTCGAATGTAAAAATTCCCTCAGTGGCACAGCGGTATGTCTGCAGACTTACAACGTTAGCAACCGGGTTTCGATACCCGTGGTGGGCAGTGCACAGACAATCTGTGAGATTGCGTATTCTATTTGGTTATGGTTTTGTTTATCGTTCATTCATTATTCCTTCTATCGTTTAGTTTATCTATGAATTTTAGTTACATTAAAACGATAACTCACCTTCTAGCTAATCACGTCTAGTCTGAGTAAATATGCAAGTATTATGTTTACTGACACCAGTTTCCCCTAGCGGTGGCATACAGATATTATTAACGTTGCACATGAGTATGTAAATTAAGATCACATGATTTGTAATCTCGTGATCTAACAAATGAATAAAAACCCTACATTGAGCTTCAACATATAACTGAAGAGTATTCTTTGTTAATTATTACTCGATGTTGTTAGTAATTTTGTAGTTTAAATACGAAATATTAGTGTTATTAAATTAGATTTTTATTCGTTTGGTTCCTTTTCCTGATTTATTTATTTGTTAAAATACTTATTTATTTTAGCTTATATATTGTATTGCTTATTAAGGTTAGTTTCAAGTCTTGGCTAGGCACATATTTACTTACTGTGGTTTGGTAAAATATCAACTTTGTATTTCGATAGTTTGAAAGTCACACATTGGATTTCCGTGGTTGTAAAAGTATAATTTTTCCAACTCTAGTTGTAGCGGTGTGTTGTTTTAGACCGTTATAAGCTCTTTATCTAGCTTTGTGCTTAACTAAAAACAATATAAAAACAATATTTGTCGTTCATGAATAAAACTATTAAAACACGCCCCGTCACACCAAACATGCTCGCCCTTTCAGCCGTGGGGGCGTTATAATGTGACGATCAATCTCACTATTAGTTGGTAAAACAGTAACCTAAGAGTTGGCGGAGGGTGATGATGACAAGCTTTTCTCCCTCTAGTCTTACACTGCTAAATTAGGGACGGCTAGCGCAGATAGCTTTCGTGTAGCTTTGCGCGAAATTCGAAAAAAACAAATTAAAACACGACTTATTTCATCAGCAAGAATGCAAAATTCTGTCCTACCAGATAAATATCTTTACAAAAAAAAACAATAAAAAACTAAAACAATATCAGTTAATATGAAAAAAATGTACGACCATTTTTAATCCTAAATATTTCATATTTCTACAAAAATATTAAATGACGGACTTACTATTCGAATATTTTGTTGCATCTGAGTTTCTGTCAGTGTTATTACTATAAGATAATATTCTTTAGCTGTTTGTCAAAAAAAAAAAAAGATACGGTAATGCGGATTAAAAGAAATTCATTTTAGGTAATAAATAGCACCACGGCTCAATAGCTTCATGTAGTCGGATAATTGATAGTTCGAGGCAGTTGTGGCCTTGAGCAAGACACTTTACCTAACCTCTTCCAGTCAACCCAGCTATATGATCAGTACCTAGCTGTAGCTGAGGGTTAACCTGCGAGGGCTAGTATTCCGTCCAGGGAGGAATGGGTCATCATTCTAATCTCTTGTACCATTGGAACCAGGGTTCGAAAGCACGGTTATAAAGGCACGGTAAGGACTTATCTGGAAAAAAAACACCAACAACTAAGATATCAGGCAGGCGGTAGTCCTACCTATGTAGGGATTGCTCGGATTGTTCATCGAAATGGTATTTAAATAACTCCTCATAAGTCATCAGAACTTTACAATACTATACAGTGTGTCCTTTGATAAC